TTTTATATTTTTGTCATCATTAAATTCATAACCAAAAACTCGACGTTCAACATCGATAAATTGTACCGACACTGAGTTACTTTCTTGGCTCCGCCCCTGCCTACACTCCCTGTCGCTTGCCATATAATCTTGAAGCTCTGGCCTTCCAAGTTTAACAATCCATTCTATCCCAGGAAAAGTAAATTCGTGCATGAAGAAATACATACGGCAATCCAAATTCTGGCATTGTACCCAAACAGTACATGGCAAGTCAAGTGATTAATACTGTTGTCTGTGAGATTGTAGAAACTTGCTTTTCAACCTGAATTTCCCAAATGCGAGCACTGAAACCAAAATAATTACATGGAAGCATGGTATAAAGAATAATCTCGTTCCTCAAATAAGTCTGTTGATATAGATTACTGACGTTAATTACTTGTTTCTAATGACCATTTCTTGAGAAAACATAGAAGAAAATCAGGGGATACAAATTCTGGGGAAGAGTTTCATATTATAGTTCCCATAGATCAGTTTGATTTAGTTATATATGGAAAAGCAAGCCCTGATGGATAAGGAAAATAAAGAAGATGCTTGCCATATTTGAAGTCTGTGATGGGGATTATAAAGAAATAAATAGCTGCTCCCTATTGTTTCAATTCTCAATATACTGTATAGATGCAGCTTTTCTGGCTTAGCTTTTGTGTATAAATTAGGAGTAATATCTTGTACAATCTTAACTTAAGAAATATGAATTCCCTGGCAACCAAGCCAAAATATTTTCTCTCTTGTTATGGTATCAGAGAAAGAGCTTTGAATCTCTATGTTTTACAAATTCTAACATCTCTTCTTCACATTTGAATCTTCTTCCTCCCCAATCCTTATTATGGCTGAAACTTACCAACCTACAGATGAACTTTCTCACCAATCTGCAGAAGAATTTTCCAATCCCTATTTTCTACATCATGGAGAGAGCCCTGGACTTGTTTTAATCTCACATCCATTAACACTTCATAACTATCATGCTTGGAGTAGAGCTATGTATGTAGCCCTCTCAGTCAAAAACAAATTAGGCTTCATCGATGGCACCATCATAAAGCCTACTAATACTGATGTCAAATACTCACAATAGCAGATGGCAACAATATGATCCTATCTTAGATCACCAACAATCTCTTGTCTGAGATTGGCAAATATATTATGTTCTCCGACTCTGCATCAGAAGTGTGGGGTGAGCTCAAGAAGAGATTTGCAAGATCAAGCAATAACCGAATCTTCATGCTAAAAAGCAGCTATTAGCAACTAAACAAGAAAAAAACCCAGTAGGTGTCTACTTTTCCAAGTTGAAACTCATCTGGGAAGAGATACTGAGGTACGATGAGCCTTTCAAATGTTCAGGAACTGATTGTGGTGTTATTTCGATATTGAACAAAACGCTAGGGAGAAGATAGATCATGCAATTCCTTATGGAATTGGATGACATTTACGCTCGCCTAAGGAACCATATTTTAATGAAGGATCCACTACCATCATTAGATAACGTGTTCAACCTTATTTTACATAAGGAGGCTAATCATGAGCTCAACCTTATTTTACATGAGGAGGCTAATCATGAGCTCACTAACTCTCCCCAAAATAGTTAGAATCTACAGCAATGGCATTCAGCAGTGGGAAGACTCAGAATCAGATGGAAAATCTCAAGCAGATAAAAGGAAACTACAAAGGATCGAGTTCTAAGGAGAAAGCATCATGCACAAAATGTAGGAGAACAAACCATACCGTGGAAACTTGTTGGGAAATCTATGGATACCCTCCAAACCATAAATTTCATAAACCAAAAGATGGCCAACAATGCATCCTCAGATGAGGGATCAGGAGTGTCAAGTCTGAACATCTTACCAGTTCAGATATACCAGCTTATGACACTTTTGCAATGCCAAAATTCCACCCAATCCAGCATTTACTCAGAAAAATCAAAGTATAAGTTTATCAAATAGCAATAATAGACATTCTTTGAGCTGCACAAATACCATCACCAGTAGAAGTACATGAATTCTCGACAGTTGGAGGACGATTGAAATTGCTAGAGAAAAACAAGGGCTCTATTTTTTGGAGAAGAATCAACTATGGGACAAGCTATCATCTCACCAACCCGTGGCCAACTCTTCATCTATTTTGACACCAGAATTGTGGCATTTACGATTAGGACACCCCTCCGACCAACGCCTCAGTTTGTTACATAGTATAGAGCCTAATATTTATCCTTTTGTCGTCAGACATTAATGTGAAACTTGTCATATGGTTAAACAAACCTAGTTGTCTTTCCTAAAGAGTCAAAAATTTGTTGATGCACCTTTTGATCTAATACACATTGAAATTTTGGGCCCTTTCTCTGTTAGTTCACTCATTGGTGCTCATTACTTTCTTACATTTGTTGATGACCACAGTAAAATGACATGGACTTACCTCATGTGTTCTAAAAGCCAAACAAGGCAGAACATCAGGGACGGATTTAGGCCCCCCAAAAAAAATTTTTTTTAGTTTAAAAAAAAAAATTTTTTTTTTAAAAATT